GAGACTGGCTAGGCCACTCCAGGACCTTGAAATGCTTCAACCGCTCCTTAGTTGCCCTGGCTGTGTGTTTGGGGTCATTGTCATGCTGAAAGACCCAGCCACGACCCATCTTCAATGCTCTTACTGAGGGAAGGAGGTTGTTGCCCAAAATCTCGCAATACATGGCCCCATCCATCCTCCCCTCAATACGGTGCAGTCGTCCTGTCCCCTTTGCAGAAAAGCACCCCCAAAGCATGATGTTTCCACCCCCATGCTTCACGGTTGGGATGGTGTTCTTGGGATTATACTCATTCTTCTTCTTCCTCCAAACACGTCGAGTGGAGTTTATACCAAAAACTTCTATTTTGGTCTCATCGGACCACATGACCTTCTCCCATGCCTCCTCTGGATCATCCAGATGGTCTTTGGCAAACTTCAGACGGGCCTGGACATGTGCTGGCTTGAGCAGGGGGACCTTGCCCACGCTGCAGGATTTTAATCCATGACGGTGTAGTGTGTTACTAATGGTAACCGTTGAGACTGTGGTCCCAGCTCTCTTCAGGTCATTGACCAGGTCCTCCCGTGTAGTTCTAGGCTGATCCCTCACCTTTCTCAGGATCATTGATACTCCACGAGGCGAGATCTTGCATGGAGCCCCAGTCCGAGGGAGATTGACAGTCATCTTGAATTTCTTCCATTTTCTAATAATTGCGCCAACAATTGTTGCCTTCTCACCAAGCTGTTTGCCTATTGTCCTGTAGCCCATCCCAGCCTTGTGCAGGTCTACAATTTTGTCCCTGGTGTCCTTAGACAGCTCTTTGGTCTTGCCCATAGTGGAGAGGTTGGAGTCTGATTGATTGAGTGTGTGGACCGGTGTCTTTTATACAGGTAACAAGTTCAAACAGGTGCAATTAATACAGGTAATGAGTGGAGGATAGGAGGGCTTCTTAAAGACAAACTAACAGGTCTGTGAGAGCTAGAATTCTTGCTGGTTGGTAGGTGATCAAATACTTATTTCATGCAATAAAATGGAAATTAATTATTTAAAAATCATACAATGTGATTTTCTGGATTTTTTTTTTATTCTGTCTCTCACAGTTGAGGTGTACCTACGATGAAAATTACAGATCTCTCCATTCTTTGTAAGTGGGAAAACTTGAAAAATCAGCAGTGTATCAAATACTTATTTGCCCCACTGTACATGTATTCAGTGTTTCGTCCTATCTGCTTCTACAAACCACATCAGTGTCTTTAACCCTGGCCAGTTTCCATAAGGGGGTCAGTGTGCGCGGATTTAATTACAGCACAGTATATATAGCAGATCAGTATTGATCAGACCAGATCTGCTGTGTGTGTGTGTGAGAGTATGTGTGTGTGTGTGTGAGTGTGTGTGGTGGGGGATTTCTCTCCACTGGATTCACAGCCGACACCTAAGCATGAATAAATGTTTTATTTATTAAGGATGACGACGACGATCAACGGCACAAAACATGCCTAAACAGCGCGCGTGAGAGAGAGAGAGACTGCCTGAATGACTGTGCGTGTCCTCCATCCAGTTAAGTCATATTCGTGAAAAAAATTAGTTTGCGATGTCCTAAGAGTAATGTTGTCGTAATATCCTAATATCTTTTCAATGTTCAGGGGTAACGTACTCCCTCATGACTGGTGTCAGTGCTATAATGTGAAGCATCAGCTTCAGCTTTTCCCCTGTCGTTTATCCCAGCGTTTACCCCTCACGTCACTAGCTCCGCCCTTGCACCATAGCTCATGACCGGAAGAGAAGATGAGTCGTTTTGAGGGGGAGGGGAGGTTAACGTTTTTGATCAAAGATCACATGAACTTTAAAAAAAATAATGAAGTGCATGGATAAATTATTTATTATAAACACTACAGTATTCCATTAAAAAATAAGAATTTTCCATTTTGATTTCATGGTGACTTTAAAGAAATTCCCTGACTTCCCTCTAAAATCACAGAAAATTAAGAAAGGTCTGCAGATTTTGCCTGGACACCGATATCCGCGCCTCCATCTTTTCAGCTGCAGGTATTTGCATCAAAATATCATCTCAGTGAAGGCATTCAGAAACGCAGCATTGCAACTTTGTTCAAGGCCATGGCTGGTACTATAATTAACATTGATTGTGACTTTGATGTGCTTTCTGGGGAATTGGAAATGTGCTCATCAAACCAGGTTCAGACATCATTAGCTGAGCAGCTCTGTCTCCTGTCAATTACTGAACTACTTCATTCACACACCGTCTCTAATGGCAGCCTACAGTTCTTTATCACTCTGCAGCGTTGTGGCACTCGTTTAATGCAGTTTTAGAAGACTGCTGTACTTTACTGTTTTCACACAGCAGGACCATTGAAAAATGAGCTAGTGAAAGAAAAATACTTGAAATGCTAAAAAGGTGATGAGTTTCATGACCTAGAATATATGTGTAAATATTAACAATGCACAAAACTGTCATGATGTTGGTAAATGTAAAGCACTCACAGGCAATACTGCAAATATTATAAATGCTGCTCATACAGATGAAGCTAATTGGCCCAGACCTCTTCTGATTGGTTCATGCCCGATCTGCTCTAATAACCATTACCACAGGAATAATTACAGACTAGACTCAATGTTATAATTTCTCTCTCTCTCGTTCCCTCTTTCTTCGAGCAGCTCTGTCTCCTGTCAATTACTGAACTACTTCATTCACACACCGTCTCTAATGGCAGCCTACAGTTCTTTATCACTCTACAGCGTTGTGGCACTCGTTTAATGCAGTTTTAGAAGACTGCTGTACTTTACTGTTTTCACACAGCAGGACCATTGAAAAATGAGCTAGTGAAAGAAAAATACTTGAAATGCTAAAAAGGTGATGAGTTTCATGACCTAGAATATATGTGTAAATATTAACAATGCACAAAACTGTCATGATGTTGGTAAATGTAAAGCACTCACAGGCAATACTGCAAATATTATAAATGCTGCTCATACAGATGAAGCTAATTGGCCCAGACCTCTTCTGATTGGTTCATGCCCGATCTGCTCTAATAACCATTACCACAGGAATAATTACAGACTAGACTCAATGTTATAATTTCTCTCTCTCTCGTTCCCTCTTTCTTGTTCGGTGTTCCTCAAAGGAAAGGTCTGATGTAACCTGGGTCACTCTCACACCCTGGAGTGCATGTTGAAAGCATTCTGATTCTATTAACAGGCATCTTCCCCCCTAGGCTCTTCTGACCCAATAACATGCTTTTTTTATTGTCATGCCAAGCGAAATCCAAAATTTGTAATAAAGAACTGCTTTTTGCAGAGAAGACATGTGGAATCCAGCCCGCCAATGACATACATATAAGGTACATATACATATACAATGTTTATCACACATAAAAACACATTTTTTACCCATGTGCATATTTTGATTGACTAAAAATGCAGGACACTGTTGGATATTTCTGTTTAAATTTAGCTCAACACTTAAGTTAAAGTTGATTCTGACTTTAGAGGTTCACACAACAAAAATATGTATTTTAACACACCTTAAAATACCCATTCATTAACAGTGATTCTGGAATAATTATATGACTGCATTCGTCAGCTTATGTACTATTGAGCAGGACCGTATACCACACACATGTAAACCGATTCAAACGGCCCACAGTTCATGACCCAGGGCTAAACTGCTCGCCAGAACTCTGGCTTTTAAACACAAAACCAGGCTTCACCTCAAAGCTGGACTAAGGGAAACAGAAGAGAACTATCACATTACTGGGGGAAACTTTTAAATTAAAGAGACCCAAGTTGGAGGGCCTTCATGTAGGCCTGAGAGGACAATGGACGCTTTCTGTCTTCATGAGACTTCAAAGTTGCGTGCCGTGAAGGAGCAGAGTTCTGCTTTGTTGTGGAAAGCCACAGATGTTGCTCTAGTTCTAGACACCCTTGTAAGCACTTCAAGAGGTATTCAATAGCCCAGCCTCCCACACGCTGCCTCTTAACCGTATCCTTCACTCTCACTGCATCATAGTGAATGGGTCGGCAAGTTTCAAGTTTTTGTTGTCAAATATGTAAAAAAAATATTATTAAAATAATAAAGGTTTCTTAATCCCAACTAAGGTAATATTCATTTGGAATTTTTTTTTTTAAAAACTCTATAATGTTCCAATATTTGTTTGTTTATTCCAAATGAAATAGGGCAAATACATATTTAAAACTAAATTCAGTCTGAACGAGCAATTGAGTTCAGATTTTGCTGTGCATGCTGGGACATTCAAATTGTATGTATGTTCCCGAAAAACTTGTTGCTATGATATATTGTACTGTTTTTTTTTACTTATATTTTACTGATTTTTAAAATACCTGTTATTACAAAGATCAACTTTTAAACTTAAAAATGGCAATAAAACTAATCAAGTTGCATGTATTCTGCATCCACACAATTTTATAAACTTGCACACATTATTTTGTTTTCTTTCTCTAAAATGGAGCTTTAAAAAACTTTCATTGGTAAGCAGTACTAGTATATATATTCTTACAAGTATGTGTATTTATTTATTTATTTCTCTTTTATAAGTTTGACAAAGCAAAACTTGAACCTGTATAGTTACCCCTTTATTTAATTTAAAGTTGCAACTTTTCATATTTTGCTAACTAACATGCATTACCCAAAGATACTAATTTTATTTAAGCCACAATTACAGTATGTTTAAATGTATCTCTTCAGTGACATATACTCTACATTTTTATTATTTCTTTGATCCATTCAACTTCAATCCAGATTAATTAATTCATTAATTGCACCTCCTTCATCTCTACCCATCTCACCCTCCAAATAATCAATTCTTTTATTATCCAAAGCAGCAAACTCTCAAAGGATTTGAGCTCTTCCGTTATTCTTTGATGATTGGGCAGCGGTAATCTTCAAAGGCAAAACTCTTCGTTCTGACTGGCTGGAGTTCTGATCAAACTCTATGAAATCATGCCAGTGTGTTCACTTTGCTCCAGGAGTCTCCCGTGAGTTGTTTGAGGTGCGCAGTTTTGGGAACGGTAAGGATTCTGGCTCGAGAAGGTTTCACTGGTGTGGCATAACTGCGATTGCCATAATGCGCAATGACCCACTGGAAGTTTTCCTTCAGGTGCGTAAAGATGATTCTCTGAGGTGAACTGTCCCAAACTTATCATTTTGATGGATTTTAAGCGTGCATGTTGAGTTAGGGAGGATTAATTATTTTAAGGATTCACTTTGAGCATTCATTTGCACAAAAAATGGTGCAAGTGTCATTTAGAGCAGTGGTTCTCACTCTTTAAATCGCCTTCAATAAGTGCCAGAATCAAGAATTGGATTAGAGTACTAATAAATCAAACGTAATTTTTAAGAATTGGTATTATATTTCGTAGGATTGGACGCCAAACTCGACCCCAGAATCCATCAAAGGATCCCCCTTGATGTTGCTGGAAGACACCTGTAATCGCATCGGCCATACCCGTGCATCCAGATCCATGGAGCACCACCAGCACGTCCCATATGAAGGTTCCCCACCTAAGCTCTTCCATCCCTGGAGAAGTGATGGTTCCACACATGCAAATTTCTCACAGCACCTCCAAACCTCCTTAAATCCACACCACGAAATGCCACTGACACCCCCGGCGGAACACTATGACTTCTCATCCCTGAAGATGTTGCCTTGTCCGTCCGCATGCGCTACTCTTCCCACGTCAATTTCAACTTATGCACCCACCACGCACTCTGGACCTTTGGACCAATGGTGGACCCTGCAGGACGCCGGCACTGCCAATCACTCCTCAACACATAATTTCCAGATCCCCCGTGGGTGGGTTCTGGGCCACCCTGAGCTCGGCCAGTACCAGTCTCAAATCGCCACCCTGCTGCACTCTAAGTCGCGGAGATGCCGGAGGTGCATGTGCCCCAACTGCCAAAAGAGTGGCTGCGCGCCGGGCAGGAGAAAGCAGCACGTGTGCCACATGCCGGGCTGCGGGAAGGTCTACGGCAAGACGTCGCACCTGAAGGCGCATCTGAGATGGCACGCAGGGGAGCGGCCGTTCGTCTGCAGCTGGATGTTCTGCGGGAAGAGCTTCACGCGCTCGGACGAGCTCCAGAGGCACCTGCGCACGCACACCGGTGAGAAGCGCTTCACGTGCCCGGACTGCGCCAAACGCTTCACGCGCAGCGACCATCTGGCCAAACACCTGAAGACGCACCTGATGCACAAGAACAGACTGGATCACATCAACACAACTCTTGAACAAAAGTCTTAGATTGTTCAAAGTACTTTTCTGAACACTTTTTGCGGGCCATCTCAGTAAATATAAAATGTTGGGGTGTGTTTTTAATTCAAGTTTAATTCAAACACCCTCATATTGGGGCTAGTTGTCACATTTGTTTGTAAATGTGTATATACATTTTATTAATTACAATATTTGCTGGACAAAACAGTGGGTTCACATTTTTGTATGTTTGCTCAATTGCTTTCATAATTGCTTTGTTGTTTAAATATAACAGAAAAGCAGGTTGTTTAATGTCTTTGAGACATCTTACGCCATATATAGTGTGACAAGATGCTCAAAAGATGTGGATTAAGTCTTTCTTTCTGAGAAATGTTCAAAAGCGTTTGCATAGTTAAAACTTTGAGGTAAGTGTCTATACAGAAATGGTTTTGACCCTAAGAAATGTTTAAGTAATGTGTGGCAACTAGGCTAGTCAAAGTTTTCCCTTATGCAATATGGTAGCATTTGTATACAGGCGAACACTTGAGAGGTGTAACTTAAATAAAACATTAATTGGTATTTATTACCTTCGTTTTCAAAAAGACAGTACTCTTATGGGCTAAATTGAGTGTATATTATTTTTTACTTTACTGTTTGTTTGTTTTTAGGGCACCAAAAATACACTACTTTAGTCGCTTTTTAATAATTTGGAAGTTTAAAATCCTCATGGACCAAAGAAGAGTGTATTTTGTAGACTACTGTTTTTATTATTATTATTATGAATTTTATGCTGTAACATTGTGTACGACAAATATATTGTGTCCTTTTTTTGTTGTTGTATTGCTTCAAACAGATTAACAAAAGATTTTAACATATAGATACAACACAACCTATTCACATTATTACAATCATACAACTTACAGGAACAAAAAAACAAAACAAAAATGTAAATAAATATTATAAATGTAAAAAAATGAAACAGATATTTCTTCCTTTTCCCTAGAGACACATTTAGTATACAAATGAGTTGAAAAGCATAGCGGGGACATTATTTTTCAAAGAATTTCTCCATAAAATTTAACAAAATTTCATTCTTTTTGTTATTAATTAACACTAAAGACTTTTTTAACAACTCCATTTCTTTTATGAACACTTCACATTTAGGTATACAATCCGCACATTTTTGTTTATGAATGTAATATTTACCATGCAAAATGTAAAAGTTTACAATATATTTAAACATTTTACTTTTGTGTGTGTAAGAACATATAACATCTTTTAAAGATAATTTAGAATTAACATTTCTTGGGGCAAATAGAAAAAAAGCTAACATCAGTATTTTAAAGTGTACCTCTTTGACTTTATTCAACATGCAAAATTGATATGGATTTAACCATGCCGTATTTTGTTTTGGAACTGGGCCACTATTGACACTGTGACGTAAGACGTTCGTTCCGGAAGGAGCGTGTTGCGCTCGGATTATTTAGAGGTGACGCAACCGGAGGGTTGCTATGGACACAGGACGCTCGTCCGCTGCAACCTTCCAGTGTTCTCAACCCGCAACGAGGCTTCAGAAAGCCTAAAGAAACTTTAAAGAAGTGTTACTGTAGATTAAACATTTTATGACAGATATATTGAAAAATATTACACCTTCAGCTCTCAAATACAGTCGACAGATCTTTATAAATATAAAGTTAGACACTTCGCGCAGATGAACAGGTAAGAACCTTCATGGCACTTTTAATGTATTAGCCTGTGTTTTGCATAACTGGCATTTTTCAAACAGTTTATGCCTCGTTTTCTTTATACATGGCTGGTTCGCTGTAATTGTTGCTTTGGAATGTGACTCTGATTGTGATCAAGGCTTAAAATATTCAACAGACTCTTGAATTACAGGCAATACTGTACATCACGACGGATCTAACTTTCCTCAAGTGGACTGTTAGCTATACTGTATGTTTAAATAATATCATGAGCCCTGTTTAAAGCTGGTCCATGGTATATTTTTACATTAAAGGGGTCATATGATGCGATTTCCATTTTTCCTTTCTCTTTGGAGTGTTACAAGCTCTTGGTGCATAAAGAAGATCTTTAAAGTTGCAAAGACTAAAGTCTCAAATCCAAAGAGATATTCTTTATAAAAGTTAAGAGTCAGCCACGCCCCCCTAAAACGGCTCGTTCTAACACGCCCCCACATGTCTACCTCACTATGTGGAAATATTTGCATAACGCTGTAACAATTCTCGCTGTAGTTTTGTTGCCGCCGACATGTCGTGGAGACGCTGTGTGCGTCGTTGTGAAAGTGAAACTACTTTGTTTGGTCTTCCAAAAGAGGACGATATCTGCTTTGTCATGCCTAGAGCTGATCCGTGCTGGTCACTGAGGAAATACATCAACTTCGCGCTGTGGATCTCCGGACCGGCTTTCACCGTGGACGAAGCAGAGTCCAGCCTGGGGTCGTCACATGCGGTTGCCGCAAGGCCTCCGGGCGCTCCATTCTCAAGTCCACCCGCCACCGCTCACTCGTTGTGAAAGTGAAACTACTTTGTTTGGTCTTCCAAAAGAGGACACGACTAGAAATCAGTGGTTAAGTTGTATTTACAACACTGTTCCAGAACACTTCAAAGCAAATATCCAGATG